TTTGCAAGAAATGCCTGAGCAATCATCAATACTAAGATATTTAAAATAACAAAAGGTTCTCTTAAACATCTTAAACAAATAAAACCGATTATACTGAATTTAGTGCGCAAGAAATGCACAAAATTTATTCATTGCGCAATAAATACGCGTATAAAAGTGGAGTCGAGTGTGTGGGACGCGCGAATACTTAGCGGCAGGCGTCGGCCATCTTGTCGGGGGCTGAAAAACGCGGGAACGGTCGTAAAAATATGGCGAACGAGGGTACCGGTGATAGGGGAATCCCGTAAACGAGCCAGATTTTGGGCGCACGCCCACGGAAATCAGAGTTAACATCAGCCGGACAGATTTATCAGGGGTTGATCCCGGGGGACGCGTCGCGGCGCTGGTTGACTGAGCGGTCCCGCGGGACGGCGACCGTTCATACATGCGAATCAGGAAAATTCAACCGCCGAGTCGCGTCGCGTTGTAACAACAGCCCATCAGCCGCGGAATGAAGGCGGAACGGGCGCACTCGTTACGGTTTTAATCGTTTCATCAACTTGTTGTTATCGCGGCGAATGTCCGGCCATTTTGCGGACGATTGGACCCGCGGACGGGTGGGATTGTTTTGTCCCTGGCGAGTTTTCTGCCGGCGATTTGCACGGAATAACCGCGAAACGAGCTTCCCGGCAGCGAAACTTTGAAACGCTTCGGTGTAGCACGCGGTTTTATATTTTGTTTCACGGAGGAAGGGGTTCCCGTGGAATTTGAATATTTAAGGGAGGTTTTAATAGGATTATTAAGTTAGAAGTTGCAGATGTTCGGGCATCCTGGTGTTTTATGGAATTAATTTGTAGAACAACAATTATTGGAAAGTTGATCGTACAAGTTTAAGAACATACTTTATTAGGATTAACTGAGAATTAAACGTTAATAATATTTGTTTACTGTTTACCATTGGCCAAATGAATCATCGACAAATAAGATTTGGGATAAAGTCCATTCAATTATAATATAGACAAAATATATGAAATTGTCGAAACCGAAAATATATTTAATACTATTCTACGGCATTTCAGTTAATAACTTTCAAATAGTAACACTAGTTTAATAACAAATTCACCGCTATTTCAACTTTCAGTAATATTCGATTCGCTATTTACTCCACTTACGATTAGCAACCGCCAGTAAGGGTGGCTTTTCTCTTCTCAATATCGTCCGGATTTCACATAAAGCGGCTGTAACCAGCGGCAGTCTCAATTATTGCCACCGAACGTACCCGTCCGTTTAATGGACCAGCCCTGGCAAAGGGGATGAGGAACGTGACACGGTTTCCCGAAGCGCCATAAACCCCGCAGCAAGCGTGAAAACTGTTCGAGCGAGGGTGGGAGAGGGCGAAGCCTCGGGGTCAGAGAACAATGGGACAGAAAATAAGTAAGTGGCTAGGGCGGCGGACCTCCTGGTGGCTGGTGCTCGACGCTGTCCTCCCGTGTACACGACAATGACTCCGAGTCAATGGTGCCCTGTTATTCGGGACATTATGGGGCATCGTTTGTCAAGTATCGCCGCGGGAAACCAGGACGTCCGTATGTTCCAGATAGTTCTGTGGAAATGTCCGATCCAGCCGAGGGTTTTCCAGCCGAGCTGGTTTAAAAGAATCGGGACGAAGGAGACGGAGCCTGATCCCCAGAAGATAAAATGGAGATACGGGATCGCTGGACCATTGTTTTGCAGTTAACGGGCCGTTTTTAAGGGATCGCTGTGGACTAAACGCACGTTTAAGGATCGTTTTTCAATTAGGGAATTGTATATAAATCGTTGGTCACCTTTGGTTGCGTAGAGGAAATCATTTTGGGGTTATAACTATAGAGAAGGGATAGGCATTGGTGTTCGTTAGTTTTTTTAAGATATAAATGTTACTGCAAATTAAAAATGTCTTCCTAATCTTTGCGTTAGCAACCTAGTTACTTAGGTAACCATTTCAGAATTCCCTTCTACACGATTTGTAATGTTTTTATAAAAGTCTGGTGAATAACTTCGAATCACCATTTGTCGAACATTTTCACATCGATGTGAGTTTTGAGAATAATCTTGGAACAAACAAATTAATATCGAACCTAAAACATAGAAAGCAGAAACATGAGAACATAGTAATAAGAAGACAACAAAGAGAACAGCAATTACCAAATAATTAATACAAATCGGCTAGAATAAAACGAGTGGAACGTTCAGTGAATAACGAGGGCTGTCATTATCAAGCCTAACGAAACTCGTAATTAAACGCACATTAAATCAACAAGTGTGCAACGCCTTTCATCTTTGTTCGCAGGTACGCTTTAGGCGCTATAACTCTTCGCGAAATTGTTACATTCACGAAAGCTCGGGAACGCTGATGAAAAGCATCGCGGGTTCGAGGCAGGTGCGATCGTTTAATAAAGAGCGACGACGCGGCTCGTTGACGGAAGCTAATTCCATCGACGTGTAATTCGATTTCGAAACGAGGCGAGCCGTGCATTAATAGCGAACGTACACTGCGGGTGATCAAGGCAGAGGCAGAGGCAGAGCCACGTGTGTGCGTGTGTGCATGGCCGTCGCGCACCGCGGAAAATTAATGAATTTCGAATACGAACCGCCGCGAGTAGTTAATTTTCGTGGAAGCCGGCGTGCAAGATGGCTACCTGGTCCGCGAACAAGCTCGTTTAATGCCACCGGCTACTAATGGCGTTTCGATTGGCATTGGTGTACAGTGGCGTAACATTCGATCACTTGCCGGAACACATGGATCTTCTCTTTGCTTCGTTGCTAGCCGAACTTCGCTAGTAGACTGAGTATCTGGTATTTACTTCTGTTATTTTACATAAATTTTCTTTATTTCTGGTGACTTTATTTTCTTAGATTTAGCACTAGGTTTACGGACACTTATTGTACAGTTTATTATTGTCCCTAGAAAATTTTATGATCGTTTATTTAGATTTTGCAAATTATAGATTACACATAACCAATCGAAATCGACTGAAACATTCATCAAATAATCTTTATCAAATTCAATATACGTGCAATTGCGTTCTGTAAACCTAGTGTTAATTTAGTGTTGCCACAATGACGAAAGATAGGATTTATACAGAGAAAAGTAGCTCGCGATAGCGATTCTAATTCGATTCACTACAAAACAATCGTTATATATATACACATAAATATGCAAAACTGTAAACTCTGCAATTCCTTTTCAGATTGTATTCTATAACCTCTCTACCCTTATTGGAATCGGATATAAAAGAAAATTTATCAGAAGATATTCTATATACGTAATAAAAGGTAACTTTTCCTCTTTCCCAGAGTGTCTTCAATTACACGAAATTCCTGTCTCCGACTCGAAATTTCCATCGCCGAAAATCCCCGAAAAAGAGAAATAGAGGCACGATCGTGTGTAAGTAGGATGACAAGGGAATGGCCCCCTGGAATTCCGCCCCCGCAATAATATTATTCATAAACCGGTCTATTCCGGGGCTAATCGAAATCACGAGCGCCATTAAATCGCCGGGGGCCGCGCCCTTTAATCGTCGCCTGACAACGTTACTGGTCCGATTTGTCATCCACGAAATTGAGTCGCATCTGCACCGGTCCGTGCACGTCCGGACCGTTCTGCTTCCGAGCACAAAGCGGAATCCGTTGCGCCCGTGTGCGTGCTTGTGCACACGCACGCACGCACGCACGCACGCGTGCGCTGTTGCATCCGTACACCGAGAAGATGATCGTCCATGGGCCACACGCTCTCCGACACAATGTCTCCCGTTGTACACGGTGTCCTCGAGGATAACATAATGGCAGCCGGCGAATGTATACGGGCACGGACCATTAATATATGGCCACGGGGGCCATTGTTGCGAATTAGGTACCATTGAACGGGCCATTGTCGACGACAACAGGGGTGCCACGATCCCGGCAACTGCGTTTTGATGAACTTTACTCGATGATTCTTGGCCCCCGCGTTCCTTGTCCACCGTTCATCGCGGACCATTAATTCCCTTCGGTTTCCTAAGCAGCTACAACTCGTTCATAGAAATTCCGTTGGTTCGAGGAAATACGGCGGGGGAGAAAAGAATTGAAGTTGATTGAACTGTTCTTCGCCACGTGCGAGATTGCATTGTTCAGCGGTGCTGGGAAGCTTTTTCGTTCTTATTAGAGAACTTGGCGATAAAATAATGAAAACAGTAAGCCGGACTATCACCATGGGAATTGAAGTGTTTAAAATATGCGGGGATCTTTCGGTATCCTTAATGATTAACTTGTTGAATGGGTCGCAAGAGTGGACTTGTTAATTGCGGTGCATTTTATACTATTTCTTTGTTCGCTTGTTCTAGTGACAATTGTTGCATTCTTGTGAATTATTACCTTTGTATTAGTACAAATTGTGAGGTGTGGAATTATATAAGAAGCAGCATGTTATAAAGTACCAAATCCGAACCCTTTCAGACATCTAAAATTTAGATGAGGTATCTTTCTGTGAAAGTCAAAAAATTTAACCGGTTGACGATACTCCGAAAAGCGAATTGAATTTTAAAAACATCATCCTTAAGATGCAAATATGTCTGTAGAAAATGTTTATTATAAGTATAACTTATTCAGTTCTGTTTGTTATTGACACTTTTGCTTCAAAAGTAATCAAATACAAGCTTTTTGAGCTACCAATACAAACAAGTAATTTTTGCCGTTCTGACCGTATCATTTAGCGCATATGACGGCAAGAATAACCAGCTACCAAAAGTCTGTATTTCTTCTTAGTACCGCCATCCGTGGCAAAATGCTCAAACTGGTAGGCAAAGTTTACCGTGGGGCGAGACACGTAAAGCGACTGTGGCGTCATCAACGGTGAACACACAAATTGGTGAACAGTCACAACAGATTTGCTGATAGTTTAACAGCGTTAACTTAGATGGCACTGGTATACCATTCTTTTGGTACCTGGTGTATCTTCTGTTGGTTAACGTTATCATTTCAGACTAAGACTGTTTTGTCGTGAAGGAGTTTGAATAAACGTCCGTCAGTAGTACTGTGATCGTTAATACAACAAAAATAAAGATTGCACTTATCAAATGTTGACAACAGAAAATAGTAAACAAAGGTAAAAAAAAATGAGTGGCGAGTGCAATTTTGAAGATTGGAAGATTTCTTTAGGAATGCGTAATAATTTGATGTACGCGGACATTCCTTACATTCCTATATTGGTGGAAGATATTCCTATATATGTTTCCTTCAAGGATTACCAAGAGAATGGTGTCAAAACAATACAAACTTTGGGAGAACTTGTTCCACAGAGTGAAACACGAGCCGCACTTGTGTCCTTAACACCAGGAAACAATTCAAAGATTTCTGTTTGTTTGAAGAATTTAAGTTTCACAGATATATATATTAAGGATACAAATGATGTATATTGTGCTGTATGGGTAAACATTATTGTTATAAAGTGCAAGTTTCATATTCAACTCTGTCTAGAATGTGTAGTTACAATTATGTTTTATTTAAAGTATACATAATGTAATTATACTATTTCTGTATTAGGATAAGCATATTGCCTTTAAGGTATACGGTGTATTGAATTCTGAAGAATCAACACACGTGTTAAAAGTAAAACATCTGGTACCCATACATGACGTTGTTGGTACACAGAAAATAATGACTTTTTTCATTCGAATGGCACGTTCAGAATATAGACAGTAAGTTAAAGCTAATGAAGTCTTATATATATTGGTTTGCTAAATATTTATTTTATTGTACTTTAGGTATTATCGCACGCAAGGACAAAACACTATGTTACAATTACAATGGGATAAAATGAATGAACAAAGAGAACGCATGGTAAATGAGGATGAATGAGAAAATAAACTATATAATACAAGCTGTGAAAGTATTAGTATATGTTACATTGTGTATATAATTAAAATAACAAAATCAACTTTTTCTACCTATATTTTAATATATGATGATTATTATAAAACTATTTAATATACTGATCATTATTATTTCACTGAACTCTTTTGTTGCATTTTGCAGTAAAATGTCCTAATTGTTTGCAATTGGCGCAATAAGTATTTTTAGCTGGGCAATATTGTCTGGAATATGGATGAGATAAACCACAGAAGATGCAATTTGATATTTCTCTATGCCGACACTTCCAAAAAAAATGGTTTTGTTTTTGACATTTAGTACAAGTTTCATTGAAAGCAGGACAATATTTCTTGGAGTGACAACTTCCACAATAAGGACAGTCAAAAATAAAACGTGTTGGGCACCTTCGATTGAAATGGCCCCATTCTTTGCAGTGCATACATTGTTTATTATTTGCTGGACATGAGTGTGCATTATGGTCATTACCACATTTTTTACAATTTACTATCTCATTATAGAAATACGTTTTCCAGATAAATGCAGTTTCCTTTAACGTTAATTTTTTATAATCAACTGAAAACTGAAATGCAGGTATAAAAATTCTGGCAGCCTTGGTAAATTCAGATTCATCAATTTCTGTTAATATTTTCCGTTTAATTATTTCTTTCCCATTTTCAAGGTTCTTTTGTTTTATGAGATCCTAGATAAACAAAAAATATAAAATTATCATGTACCTTAACAATAATTCTGCTCAAATTTTTTATCTTACCTGCAATTCATTAATGTAGTCATACATATCTTCACGGGGTAGCCTTTTCCTTGTTCCGAACATACAATATTCGTCAAAGTTTTGAAGTAATATATCCACATTTTGATTTTCATATAGAGATTCAAATGTGTTACAAATATCTACACCGACAGGACCCATCAAGTTTATAAGCCTACCTCCCCATAATTTCTTATCATTGCTGTCAATGCACTGAGATTTGTACTTCAGAAATATTTCTTTCCATGAGAACCATGTTTCAAAAAATTCTGTCAATGTTAAAAATGGGTAAGGTTGAACGATTTTCGGAGTACTTGGTGGAACAATTGGACGACTTCTTGGCGGAACAATTGGAGGAGTTATTTTTATATTAGATTTATTATTTGTGTTTGTACTTTTACTCTCAGAAGTACCTGCATTTATGAAGAAGTATTGATAAAAACAAAGTCAACAGTAAAAAAAAATGTACGATAAACCAAAAGAAATATTTACCCATATTTTCGTTTGCAACTTTATGGTCTGTCGAACACGGTTAACTACGTACAACTGATTAACGTAACAGATACGGTATTCGTCATACTCAATTGTAAGAAATTGTAATACGGGGATTTTGCCTTGAACATATACAGCCAATCACACTGTGTACCAACAAAACTGTGTTACTAGACAGAATCTTCAAGTAACATAACCATTACATTCGCTACGGTACAGATTAAAATGAATTTTTAAATGATTAATCTTATCTTGAACAACTACTTCACTCATATCGATTAACACGGACAATACCATGTTCAAATTAACAACAATTCAGTGGCTACTGAATTAATTAATAATAACAATTAATTAACGAACAAGAAATTACTCATCAAAAGTCTACCATCACAAAAGTGAAAAATAACTATGAAAGGTAAACGACTGACATGTACAAAAATTAGTTTCAAGGGTATGCGTTGCAGCAAGGAGGGTCGTCATGCGTCAGGCGTCTCCGTGGTAACTAGCGATTAATATCCATAATTGTTGACTTGCCTACACCGTGTTCCAACGCTAATAAGGATGCATGTGCAGTCTTACTGAATTTCTGAATTATTTCACGGTTACTTTTCACGTATCAGTGCTACGCTTCCGTTGCAGCAATTAACTATGTCACTAATCATAGTGCTTGATCTCCATCGAACCGTCTAAAATACACGATCTGCGGATAATCGAATGTATTCAGTGAGAGATATTCAAGCAGTGAAGTGCTTGGACTTCGAATAAAACAGGATGAACCTCTATCGTGAACATCATTGGGTTGTAACATAAATAATCTCGAATACATTCAACAGTTCTTTGTATTATTAGCCTCAGGACGCAGTGAAACATTAGTGCTACATTCAGATCGACTTGCGTACTTCTATCCATCACAGTTACGCGCATTATTGTTATTTAAAGTTACAGTTAAATACGGTTATACATCGCAGTTCAAGGTATTATTAAAAGTTTACAATATTCCGTTTGAAGCGTAGGCAAATGTTAACATTGCAAATTCACTTCCACGTTGACCCTTTGCACTCCGAATTTCTTTTGCATTCTTTCCTCGATAACTCTGTATTATTACAATATCTTATTTGAAATGCATTTGAAGAAATAATTAGATTCTAGCGAGCAGCGTAAACGGTTCTTCTCGCTGATAATATTGAAAATAACATGGTGATATAAGTTATTTCAAAAATATCTCGACAAAGAACCACACCTGCGAAGAAAACTGATGTCGAGTCATCGAGGAGCGCAAAGGGTTGAATGTCAGCATCGAAACATTGCAATCGTATCAGTAACCGAGGCGAATGATAGACCAACGTACGTTCAACGGTTTACGTTACAACCAAATAAATTCGGGAAGGGAGTTAACTTGGACGAAAGATTTCCTTGTAGCTCGCAGGGGCTAATGGGAGAGGGATGATCCGGTGATTCCGATCGGGACCGGATGCTGGGAGCACCGCCGCCCCATGGATAATAATTACAGAGCAAACATCGGCAAGTGGCTGCCGCTTCCGGGCAGTGTCCTGGAGCAATGGTTCACAGAGTCCTCGTCTCTCGACGAGAGAATGGGCAACCTCGCGGAATGCATAGCCTTAATCATCCAGGACATTACAGACGTTCAGGCTTGTGATCTGGAGGTGCGAAACTAACTTCTGTCGCGGCAAGTTCCACGGTGCAGTTTAGTTTCTCATTATCGTCAACCGGATCTGCGAGCTCTCAATTGTTAAAATTATCCCCGAGAGCGGGCCGCGCTCTTACACGCTCCCCCGCGAACGTCATCGTGAATTATCGTCCCTTCTTGGATTATCGCGGTTCGACGGTGAATTAAACGCTTCATTTCATTATCCTTGCCACGATCGAACGATACCGGCACCGAGTACCTACGTGTTCCTGAGCATTCTGGGAACGTTCTCGCTGATTCTTTGCTGTACAATCGGCGATTGATTTGTTAGTCCGTAGACTGGAATCGGGGAGGTTTACTGAAATATTAACGGAGTTTAGTGTCCAACCATTAAACTTGAACTGTAATGGAACATTTCATATAGCGGTTTATTCGAATTTATTTTAGTGTGAGTTACTTAACGTTAAAACTACCGAGCAAATTGGATTTCCTAATTTTTCGATAGAATCTCCAAGAGTGTGACTATTGGGGTTTCAATTGGTTTGTAATTCAGTTTGCGTATTTCTAAATCAATTTCGTTAGTTATTTTCCAGGGAGGCATCAGTTTCTTTTCAATAATCGCAAAAGACGAGTTTAGGAACGGATTGTATCGATCCATTTGGTAGTTCTAGTGTTAATTATGCTGCTGTAAATTGTTCGTGGGTTGTTCGTTGCTTGGAGGGATGTTTCTAAACGAATTTAAATGACTGGTTTTGCGTAGGTATTCGAAACGAGTGATATACGATAGGGTTTCTATCAAAAAGATAGAGCTTATTTTTTAAGCTACGGTTGAAGGGAGATTGATCCTTGTACAGGCTTGCAACGGCGTCGCAACCGACGTGGAAGAAGTGACGAACGGATACAAATCGATTTATTCGGTGGCTCTCAGCACGCATCCGATATACAAGTACAAGATGTGCTATTTCCTAACGTCCATGAAGCGGAAGTTAAACGTGTTGGCTAGGTTCAGCCGCAATCTGATCAACGAGATCGTGGATTGCAACAGCGAGGAACTGCTCAGAGTAATTTTCAGGTGAGATCTTAATCGTACTAAGCGATTCTATTTCGATTACAGAAACAAACTAGTCTTTCACCTGAAGAATCTTCTTAATCGTAGATTGGTGAACGTTTACAACGACATCCTAGACATGGACATCGACGTCTCGGACCCTTCGACTAACGTCTTCCACAATGATAGTCCGCAGATGCTCGAACCGTTGAAGAAGATGTCTGTCACCCGGATACTGCAGGTAGACGTCTCTTCGAAAATGGATCTTCTACTTTTAGCATCTAGTTTGAATAAATGGATAAAGAAATGTGTCGAAGACATATAAATAAAGAAATATATTGATATGTTTAAGTATAAATAAAGGAATATACTGATATATTTAAGTATAAATGAACATATATATTGATAATTTAAGTACAAATAAAGAAATATATTGAAATATAAGATAAATCGATAAGGAGAAGATAAACGAAACGATAGAGGCGTATTTGCAGTGATTGCAACAGCATGACAAATGCAGATAGCTAATAAATCTGACGAAAATTTCGAACCTTCCAATTTATCTTCAAAAGATTTACCATTGAATTCAGATAACGATTGAAAAATTCGATGTGGCAGGTATTGGCGAAGAACAGGGCGGAGGAATCGTGTCACGAGCTGATCGACTGTCTTCTGGCGAACTACGAGCCCCGCGAGGACATGGAGCCCGCGTCGAAGGAGACCGGCGACGGCGACGTCTCGGAGAACTCGAGTATCGAGATCTACCGGTCAGTTCAGCCGATCCAAAAAAAAGAAAAGAAAAGAACAAATGAACGGTATTTTTTATTGTTCCTTCTGTGCAGCGATCTGACGAAGAATTGATTCGCAGGGCACTCACGAGACACTTGACGCCGCCGATCAAGAGCGCTTCGTCGAGAACCGAGGCGGAGATGTCGAACGTCGAGAGCGTTCAGACTCTGGTCAATATTCAGAACGAACAGGTCCTCAGACTATTGAATGTCGCGCAAGATGTTTCGCCGCGTTTGTTGGGCAACGACGCGCTGAAGACTGTCAAAGGTTCCTTTCATGATTTTAACAATAACGATTCTCAACGCTCGCGTCGAAACGAGAGTGTACTGAGAGTGTTTGGATGTAGAATGATTTTTGAAAGTGATAATATTGAAAGTGACAGTGTTGATTCTTCGTCGTCGTACTTTTTAAAAGGATATTTGCGATAGGGATTAATTTCATTAATAATAGATATAATAATAGATAATTATAATAGTTAATAATAGAAACAGATTCCGTTGGATATCTCTATAAAAATGTATTTTACTACAAACTTCCGCAGTGTAGTTATTAACCCCTTGACCTACAGTATCTGGCTCGCGACGAAAATTTTCAGTTGAATTTGGGACGTCGGAGTATTATTTATTGGTTTGAAATATGAATGAAATGTTACTTTTCATTTAATAGAATAAGTATCAAAATTTGTTCCTTTCCTATTAAATTAGCAACGATGAAGGAGTTGTGTCGATCAAAGCTAAGAAATAAATCATAGGGCAAGGGGTTAGTGAGATGCTGAATACTCCAGAGCAGAGCTTCTCAAACTTCTTAAATTTTGTATCACATAAATGAGAATCAAGAAATATATGTACCACTATAAAAGCATTTCTCGATTAAAAGTCAACACATCCTAAATAGAATGTTTACACTCGAAGAATAAAACATTTCAAATTTATATTGTTTAATTATATCCGTACGTAAAACCTCTACATTATCATAAAATACAGTAAATGGTGGTTAATAATGCACAAGCAAATATTAGGGGGATTTATTATTAGTGAGAGTTAACGCGAACGATGAGCCTGACTCATTATAACCAATTTCAATATGCCAACCTTTATCTTCATTAATATCAAACGTAAGTGAGGTTCAAATTATTTTCAAATAAATCAATAATACTTTTCAACAAAAACGTTCGAAATATCTTGTGTGAAAATTATGTAACCAAAAGTAACGTATCATTAATGCTACTGTCAGAGACAGTCGCTCTGTGAACTTCAATTGCGAGTCTGGAAACGGTTTTCCCCACTTTTTATCGCGCGAACCGATTAGTGTGCGTGAGCGTCTCAGCCAATCATATACCAGAATTGAACATTTGTGTGGGGTAGGCGTGTACCTTTGGATCTGACCACTCAGACGAGAGTGCCAGGTTCGCTGCAACGGACGTTGTATTTACCACAGTTTGAAGCACGCTGCTCTGGAGACTACGAAAGTGGTAAATAATAAATTCATTAAATAAATACCCAGGCGAGACGAGGCTGAGGGGCAGCGCGATGAGGAAGGTGAAGAATTACTACCAGGAGGTCGCCTGGGGCGCTTTGTCGGGGATTCTGGACCACGTGATCCTCTGGTGGTCCCCGGAAGCGCTCGCTACTCATCACAGTCACGGGGCGCAACACCTCAAGGACTGGCTTAGCCAGTTCGTTCGGCGGAATCGCGGTAAGGGTGCGCAACAGTGTTCCGCGCATGCATATTTCACGGGGAAAGTTTTCGCGTGGAAACAACGAGAATCACGGGGACATTTGTTAAAATTTCAGTGCCGCAGACTGTGAGGCCGGCACTGCAGAATCTCTGCGACGCCCTTGGCTACCATGCTACCATCACTGCTTGGGACCAACTGTTCCGACTCGCTTACACGTCTGCGTTCCAGTGTCAGTCCAGGGCTTCGTCGACCGAGGTTGGTTGTGGAATGGAATAAAATGGATAGTTTATGTATTTATTAAAGTTGTATTTTTGGTACTTTGATAGTTTGGTAATTTGGTAACTTGGTAATTTGGTAACTTGGTAATTTGGTAATTTGGTAATTTGGTAATTTGGTAATTTGGTAATTCGGTAATTTGGCAACTTAGCAAATTAGCAACTTGGCAACTTGGAAATTTAGCAATTTTACCCGTTCGTCATTTGTCTCCAAAAAGCAGCGTTTAAAATAAATCGTTATACCAGTAACTTAATCACCTTAGAATCATATAGCAAACTACTTACGAAAAGTATGAACTAATAATAAATTAATCCCAAAGGAATCGTTCCAGGGAAGCGACACGGGTCAGAAATTCGCGGAGTTGTTCCAGCTGCTAGTCAGGCTAAGCAACGAATGCGAGGCTGGTGGCGAATGGGTGATCGGTGCCCCGTTGATGGAGTTGCCCCTTTCTGAGCAGATTGTCGTCCTCCATCGATTGGATCACTCGGTGCACACGGCCAGACTCTGGATCCTACTGGAAGCGAAAATTATAGCCCACACGTGGGATCTGCACGTGTTCTTTCTTCTGGTTAAGGGAGACATACCGAACTGCCTCGAAGAATTATCTTATCTAAAAGTATTCTCACCTGCAGAAAACCTATTCACGAGCCTTTAATACATTCACCATGGTCAAATATTATGTTTCAGCTCGCCGATCATACAAACGAACTGTCTACAGACTCCGTCAGCGTTCAGGTGTATGTCTGTGGGAAGATGAGGGCGAAAATCGTGTCGGAAGTTAACGTCAACGTGAATTTACTACAGGTAAAACATAACAGACAGCTCTTCCACCAGCTTTTAGAGAATGGAAGAGAAGTTAAACTAAACTGGACGCTAGAATTTAGAACTACTAGTTTTAACTGAAACATTAAGCAACACGGTCTGATGCAATATGTATAATTCAATGACACCACCGATATAAAGTGGTCTCCCTATGATGACAGCTCTTAGATTTAACCCCTTGCACTCGAGCATATTTTCCTCATTAAATATTCATTATTTTCTAGTGAAGTAATTGTATATTTGATATCCTAAATACCTATATACTCAACTAACATAAATTTCGCATAAATTAAGGAACTGAACTATTTCATCTCAATGTTTTATGTGTTGATACATTATAAAACATTTAATATTGAATTTTAAATTTTATAATTTTACTGTTTACGTCTCAGTCAGGAAATGATGACTGAAAGGTGCCTCTCGAGTGCAAAGGGTTAACAGTTCGACGATTTTAAGGAGAATATGTTTTGAAGGATGATTTGATCGTGTCTACAGAAGTGTTCCACAGAATGCATACACGTCCTCGCGAAGATCTGTCGCGTGGTGAGTCTAGCAAATCTACACATGTGCTTCCCGCGGTCGAGTTACTGGAGGCGTGGGAGTAACGTGGCGCCAGTGGCAGCGAGTCTCTACGTGGAGACGTATTTCGGTACCAGAATCCTTTACAACTATCCTGTGAATTATTCCTTTCCTCTAAAAATCACATGTGTGTTCCATAGAAAAGGTGCTGCTTCCGGTGCTAGAGGTTATCGAGGACCACGAGACGTCGAACATGATCCTCAGAATAATGTGCGAAGCGTGGCTGGATTACATATACCTGCATCGAATTAAATTCAGGTAAATCCTGGCTATTCTGCAAGGATCGCAGACAAATCTAAGAGAGCACGATAAAATAATCAACACGTTAAGAGTACATACACTTAAACTTGAGGGTCTAGGTATTTGTATAAACCCTTAAACATGAAACCTTTCTATAATTCTTAAATATAAATATCAAACTTATAATGTCAAAAAATTCAAATAGAATTTAACAATTACTTTCATTCGATTTCTTTGACTTTAAATTAAATATTACGTTTACCTTATCAACTGATCTTCACAGCAGAGTTTTCGCAAAAGTATATCAAATGAAATATTATGCTTCCTTTGTCAATTGTTCTTCGTAGAAAGTCCTTAGCAAACACAGATACACAACGAGGGAGGAGATTTTTCATTTTACAATAAACTACTAATTGTAAAATAATTCTATCAACACACAATCGTGAAAAAACCACGAAACAGTGGTAATTCATAAAATTACCTACCTCTCAGAATCTCCGGAATCTTTGCTACCCCACAGATCATCAAGTTCAAAGATCCCTAGCCCAAACTAAAAGAAAGAAACTTCAGTTTATGTGAATCCTCCCTTTCTGCGATAAATTACTAACTCTAAAATAATTCCAACAAACACAAACACGAAAAAACCACAAAACAATGGCAATTCATGAAATGACCTACCTCTCAGAATCTCCGGAATCTTTGCTACCCCACAGACCGTCGAGTCCAAAGATCTCTAGCCCAAACTGAAAGAAAGAACCTTCGGTTTATATGTCCTCGGTCTCTATCGGCCGACAAAGCCGAGTGAATGGTTTCAAGGCGAAGACGGCGTAACGGCGCTCGTTCGATCATAACCGGCCGATTCTTAAACCGATCTAGCTCGCTCCGCCAGGCGATGGCTCACGGTATCGTCATGGCTGGAGGGTGCACGCGCGCTTTGCCGTCTGCGATTTATCGTGGCCGTAAGTCAGAAATATGTTGCAGCGAGTACGGGGCGATGCAGTTGCTCACGGACTTCGCGTACGTGTCGAAATGGGTCACGGGCTGCTCGATAATTTCGCAGGAGGTGAGAAACCATCTCCTGAAGAACGAAGTCCTGCGACGCTGCGAGGGGGTGGGCCGGTTGCTCTTGAGACAGCCCGGCGAGGCGATCTCCATGAGGAAACGATTGGGTACGGTATAACGAGTAACGACGGGATCAAGTTCAATGTGTACTTACAAATCCGAGTCGAACCCAGTGCTCAAGGTTTCTATCACAGGATTCGTATACTGTTAACCCTTTGCACTCGAGAGACTCCCAGTCGCCGGATGATTTGATACAGGGAAATTAGAAACTTTGGTGTTTACCATTGACCTTCGTATACTGCATCGATACGTGAAATATCGAAGGAAAATAGCGTTGTTCCCTAATTTATGTGTGATTTATTGATAAATTCATTTTAAAGAATCTTGTCTACATCTAATTAGAAGGTACAGAATATTTCAAGTGGAAAAGTTTCGAGTGCAAAGGGTTAACCACGTGTTCTATAAAATCGTGTCAGACTCGTGATGAAGGTTTCGAGGTGAATACGAGAAATGTTGAAATACTTTTTTCGAGTGTGAATTAAGTATTAGCTTTCTGCTATGAAGCCTTTAAGTGTTATAGTAAACTAAACGTTGGATAAGTATTAAATTTTACCTTTCTCCTAATGAATTATTGTAAGATAGTTGTATTAAGTACTGTGAAAGAATTTATAGGATAAGGGATTAATTATTTGATATATAATGACGAGTGAGACGAGTGACGAAGGTTTCTAGATTTAATGAGAATTGTTATCTTTCGTTGAGTATGCATCAAAGTAGAAATTAGTTATTACGTTCAAAGTAAATTTGCGTTCGCAATGGGAAATTTCTTTGCGTTTAGGTTCGAATGGTCTTAGAAGTATTTCCTCCGAAGTAGTTGTAGAGAGTTTGAATCTAATCGACTAACGTTCGAACTTATCTACGATGTACTTGAGCCCATCACTATTAACGAGGCATCCACGATGGAAAGGAAGAGACGGGACGATCGTGATTTATTTATAGCCCCTTCTCTATAGCCCGCTCTTTGCCAATCTATCCTTTTTCTTTTCATCGGATGTTTCAGTTACCAGGACAAACGAGCGCGGCTCGCCGGAATCGCCCGGATTGGAACGCATGCCGGCGGAAATGTACGTGCCGAACCAGGAACAATGGCTCGAGCTACGGGCACCGAAAAGATACACGTTCTGCTGCACAGATTGAGGAAGTGTTCCGATCGACGAATAAACGTTTGTTATTGAAAGACACTTTGTAAACGTTTTTCGATCTTTGCCGAACGGAACCGCGGAGATGACGAAAGAGTCCTTTTCATCTTGTCCGAGGTTCTGATCGTGGAAGATCGTTTGAAATATTGGGGAGATTAATTGTGGGATATCCAGTTAATTTAACGATTCACCTCTTGTTGGAATTGCCTTACAAAAGTGAGCTCTTTCTGATTTTTTAAATTTTATAGTAAATGGATCATTGTAATGTGTGTTAGAGAACTGACTAACTGAGATTGACAGTTCAATGTTTGCTGAGTTCAGTACTTGAATAGTTTAATATTCACAAAGTTCAGTATTTGTACAGTTCGATATTCGAAAAGTTCAATACTTGAAAATTTCAGTACCTAGAAAGTTCAATACTTGGAAAGTTCCATACTCGTAAAGTTCGATATTTGGAAAGTACTCGCAAAGTTCAATATTCGAAAGGTTCAATACTTGGAAAGTTCAGTACTCACAAAGTTCAATATTCGAAAGGTTCAATACTTGGAAAGTTTAATACTCGCAAGGTTCAATATTTAAGAATTCCAGTACTAGCAAAGTTCAATACTCGAAGGATTTATCCCTCTAAAAGTTCAATACTTGCAAAATTGAATATCCACAAAGTTTAATATCCGCGAAGTTCGGTACTCGAAAACTTCACCACGTGCAAAGTTCTATACTCGCAAAGTATCAACGCACTCTCGAGTTCTGATACTGACAAATATCAATATCCGCAAATTCAATCCCCGCAATCATTAACGTTTCACACGTCCTTGCGACGATAATCTTCGCCGCGATATAACTTCCCAACTTCTGATATTTCAATCGCGTTCTTTATTAAGCGTCGGCGAACCGCAATGACACAATAGCACATCTCGGCGTTGCGTAATCGGCGACGCACGCCGATTCCGTACGCATGTTGCCGGGACAAATCCGTGGATCTTAGGCGGCGATTCCGCGCGATTTATGCACCCACGAAGCCCGGCAAGGGAAGGAAGCCCCTTCCCGATCTCGCGACGCGTATTACGTTACACGCCTACGTTATGAGATAAAAAAGAGTGGCAATCCGGTACCTGAACATCGACCCCTGCCACGGACAGTGAGGTTTTAGCGTCGGGATCGGTCGTGTCTCTACGAATCGCCATGGAACGATCGCGTTCGCCGTGTACACGTCTTCGGGAACAGAGAAAATTATCGATTGTTCATTAACCCTTTGAGTGCTGAATACTCTCGTACAAACCCTCCGTGTATACAGAATATTTTCTTGTCATTCGAAGATCGATGGATTATGTTAAAACATTGCGCACCGGCCAAAATGTGAGATTTTTAGTCTATCGTTTAATCGCTAACCCTACGTTAATGTAACGTTTTAGATACATATAGCACAAAATCAAAGTGAAATTACAAAACGGAATTCCTTATTCTTTTCGTAAGTTAGAAATTTCGGTTCGATTGATGTTTAAAAATGTATCAATATAATTATCGACGCTCGCGATTTTAGTAGCTGAAATTTAGCCGGCGTGCAATGTGTTAATTAATGCAATCAACTAAATATTTGTATCTTTAATCTGAATATGAAGCTTACTTTATAAATCAGAGATGCTTGACTGAAAGTCTTTCAAGCTTTCGATTGAAATTACTCCGCTCAATCTAGCTGAGTAATGCGTGGACAACTAAAAGTAATTGTGTGCGAAATATTCTGTTTTCGGTGATAAGCAACGGTTATCGTGTGCGGATTATTCCCCTTAATGATACAAATGGGAGTTGTAATTATATCGTAATTGTAATTCCTCTGTTTCACTAAATTAAACAATGATCGTGCAAATTAGTCACGTACATTTATAATTGTCGTCACGGTGTATGTGAGATAAATAGATCGTGACTTTTTTCGATCGCATGTATATGCGTTGATAACATTCAAAGGGTTGAACGTGTGCACGTGAGACTGAATATGTGCAACGGGTGCAGTTCGCTGTTGTAATTACTGCTCTGGGATCGGTGTACCGTTCGACACGTTCGTTTTCGCGTGACGATCGCGTCGGCCACGTGACGATCGCTAAATTTCCACGGATTTCTTCGGCATCGAGTTCCGCGCCGACGGTGTATTAAATTCCCGTGGTCCGTTGATGACAACGTGAGTACGAGGAATGAACGAAGTAGATAAGAAAGGTCCTTGTGATTGAAACTTATCGGTCGGCTCGGAATTGAACAGTTTAGAGATTTTTTATAAATTCCGGTCGAAGAATAAAGAATATTTCTATTGCTGTGTAACAGGATGGAATATTATATATTCATACTACGGAAAAATATATTACAGCCATTAAGGGATTCGCGATCTCGACGGTATAACGGACGTTCTAGAACACTGCTGCAAATGTACTAATGACTTCATTAAACATTACTGAAACGTTCGTTGTATCGCGTTCTGTATTACTATCCAATCGATTAAGATTAAAAATTGATGACACACCGAATCCACGATCAGCTAGCAGTTATTTCAATGAATCCCTTACACGCTGTCATTGTTTATTACTTCAACCATTCGATGGACACATCGAATAACTCAATGAAAAAAATGTTTAATCTAAGCGTTCAATGACTTAATATTTTATATTTAAAATAAGCTTCCTTATTATTCGGTCTAATATCACTTTATCCAAATTTCAATTCGAAACAAACATTCCTTTAACCATGTCGATATTGCAATAATTATAAAAATTACTCAAGGAATGCACTATTTTATACATAATCGTTAAACTACACTTGTAACAATAAAGTAAAGTACACTCTACAATATTTACTTAATTTCCCAGTTAAAGGAACATTTTCAAAATTAATACACACTACTGTCACTTCTCTTTTCCGTGCATTAACAGATTCGGTCAACGAGTGGCCATTTATCGTCCGAATAACATCCCGCCAGCTGTTACCATTGCGAAGGTTTTCCGCTAGTTTTTCCAAGAGTTTTTCCCAACTGCCGTCACGAAAGTGTCGATGATCTTTTATAATGGTCCAAAGCTCCTCGGCGTCTTGCACCGCAGGATAAAAACGCGCTGCAGCGACTCGTGTTTCATTACCCGGCCGTCGATCCTCGATTCTTCTTATATAACGCGATCCAGTCGATGGCTCGAGTGTGTAGGTGCGACCGAGGCTTTGCCAGTCGCTTGTCGAGATGCTCGAAACGACTTCACGTCCCCGTGTTCCTTCGACGAACGGTAGATTTAAGCGTAATCAAGTAATCAAGTGGCTTTGCAGTGTTATCTGGTTAGACCATTCGGAACGCTTTCCCCATTCGTCCCTGTCATTCATAGCCTCCTGCGTTTACGAACCATTAAAAGGATCATTCCTCACCTTTCTTCCTCCGGATGCTCGAATTTCGATCGTCCTTCCGTTAATCCATGAAATCTTCCGGTTTAATTCCATAGATCTGATCTTTCCTTTATCTGCCCGAGGCAATGGGAAACTAAGCTCACCGCGCCATTTTGGATTTCTTAAGTCAGCTTCGAAGATTCCGGAAGTTCTAATATTGATTCCTTTAACTCTATTGCATGAAATTTATCTATCTCGCGTCGAAACGCGAAGAACATCAAGAATATTATTTAATAACATTCGTTGTACTTTGTCTATGATACATTAAAAAACGCCACACCTTAAAAGATTACAAAACTTAAATCCTACAATGAAACAAAAGAAATGGAATAAATATAAAGCATTAAAATCTACTGTAAATTACTTCCATTCGTTTCCCAAAAAGAAATACAAGTCTACACCCGGCGACGCTGAAAATAAATCGAGCGCGAAGGTTTAATGCAACACTTTATTCTACATCAAGTCAACTAGCGACCAACAGTCACCTTTCCAGTGGCGAGTAACTTCCCCAAGACTCCTCGCAAACTCGTTTCATCCCCGAAACGCGGCGATGCCCCCGGACAACAGTTTCCTTCGGCAAATCTCCGGCGACCAACTCGTTGTCGGTGTCTACCGCGATCCGCGGGAGTTAAGGGACGTTTTTGTGTAAATCCCCTGGTGGGCAGCTGCGACAAAGGGTCGCCGGAGTCGCGGCGACCGCGCGGGACCGGAAGTTTCCTGCGATTCAGCTCGGTTTCCTCCCGGCAAACCGAGCAGTCTCGCGGAACTCGGCCAGACGGGGGACCCGGGGCGGCGTCGACGTCCTCGCCGGAGACGTCGCACGCCAGTTCACGTTCGACGATCGCCGATACGGCTCGCCGATCGGCAGTCAAGCGGTTTCTTTCGCAGCCCGGCCAGCTGGTTTCGGCACGATGTATCAAGCCAGACACGCCACGGAGAGGACCGCGCTCACCAGGCCGCTCGACTCGCCCGATTACGTGGAATTCGCGAGCCTCCTGAGGACCAGGAAGACGCGGATCAGGCAGTTCCAGTGCTGCATCTGCGGCATTTTGATGTGAGTCCCGGCATTTTCGATAGAGAGACCTGGTGAATGAGTATGGGAGGGTAGGGCAGAATGGAAAGGTCAGGTAAAACAGAACTGTGCTTCGCTTGAGACAGTTCTAATAAGTCGGTGTAGTTTGAGAGCGGAGGATGTAGACGTAGAGCAGAGGACGAGCTATTTTTCGAATGAAAGTATTGGAGAGATATTTAGTAGAAGTTTTGTTGTATAGATGTTTGGAGTATTTTGTTTTGTATTTCGATTGAGAAATTGAAGATGAGTATAGTTTTGGATTTTATGCACCTTAAACTGAATTTTTAATAGTTAAACGTTGTGAAATTTGATGTTCGTTTTAACGATCGTGTATTAATGGTTTGATAATTGTAGATTCAGTGATAAAGCTTCTACTTGGGCTGCAATAGTGTCAGTAATTAATAGTGATTACTTTTAGTAATAGTTTACTCTTGTTTCTTTATGTTATTATTGTCGTTGTTCTAAGAATGTAGAATGCTTATTCTACAGACGTCTTAGGTGACGCTTTGTTTTTGTGGTGTAGATAAGTTTCTGTCTGTCAGCTTAACCGTTTGAATGCCAGCAGCGCGATCGCGCTTCTCCGTTACACTGCGTAAAAATACCGCTCTATCGGTTCGTTTATTTACTTGTTTTCCTTTTGATTATTTACTTTTGTTTTTGTCATGAAAAACGGAACGATCGCGTTATTCACAATGTTTTAATGTAAAAATAGAAAAGCGTAATCCAGTTTCTGAAATGAAACGATAGGAGCGCGATCGCGTCGCTTGGCACTTTTCGACCGAGTTTTTGCAAAGGCCGGTTAATGATTTGGAATTTCCTGGGAATTAGAACATTCGAACGCTCTCCATTATTGGCGACTCGAAATTGGCAACGAAGAGACGTTCAATGCAAACGCTTTAACTTTCCTAATCCGATTTGCGGCGAAGCGTTGACAGATCAAGCCGTTCTTCGGCCGTATTAAGAATATGCGTCTGGGATAAAGCGTGTTTATATAAGTGCAACTGGACGGAGAGTTGCGTCGTACGCTGCGCGATGCAACAGAAACAGACCTTTAATAAATGTGGCTGCATAAAACAACGCAACCGATCGAGTCATCGTGCGCGGAACGGGTAAACAATATCCGCTTTCATCCTCTCTATTATTATAATCTCCTTTCAACGTTGCATTTTTGCGTTCTGAAATAATCACTGAAGATTTCATCATAGTTTCTAATCACAGTTTGCCAATTTCATGAAACTTAAAATTCAATATTGAGAGTAGAAATATTAGAATCTACAATCATTTAGGTTCACCGAGTAACAGCTATCTTCGACATGTTTCTAAATCTCAAAAATTTGAAAAGCAGCATAGATCAGAATTTTCCAAGTTACAAGCTGTTAGTTCTAAATGTTTATGCGAATGATTAATAACTTTAGAAATATTAGAATTTATATCCAATTGATCGTCATCAATTCACCAAGTATTAGCTACCTTCAACACCATCCCACTCAAAATTCTCAAGATTAACAAAATTCACAATTCCTTAAATCACAATCCGATACTACAAATAGTATTAAAATCTATCGACAAAATCTATCACTGAAATAAACGCTGGTAGCGGACGTGTTAATTCAAGTATCAAAATTTCAATGTTCAAATTCTTCAACATTCGAATTTTGATAAAATCTCTTACGAAGGAACGCGATCGCCGGCTTTATAAATACGCCGGTGAAGATTTCCATCGCGTATAGCTGGAAAAAATGATCGCGTATCCATTCCCCACCGTAAGCGGATACTTACGTAAATTCATCGCTCACCTCGAGCGCCGTGCCGGCCCCGTCGATCGCGTCAGTCCAGCCGCGGCAAGACCGCGGACAGCGAAGAATGTCGTCGACGGAGTCGACCTCGTTGACCGGCGACAAGCCGGCCAGGGTGTATTACGTTCGCGACTCGTATCCGTTCTATTCCCATCGGAGGAGACAGAAATTACAGCTGCGATGCATCGCGTACACCGTCGCGACGTGAGTTTTCCTGCTCTCCGAGCCGATTTCTCCAACGTATTTCGCTTAAAGCGCGAAAGTCCGACCGAAAAAATGGTCGTCGAAAATTGTGTTTCGTTCCTTTGTGATCTTTCATACCTGACAAAGTGTTAAACTTTACCAAACGAATCTTGATGTTCACTTAATCTGAGTTACATAGAATATTTTAACGTTTTTTTCCAGTGGATTTCGAACAGTTTGCAACCGTTTCATTTTATTTCCGCCTTGAAACGATATTCTAAAGGATTCGAGAATAAAGCAAATTAAATATAAACTGGAGTAATATTTGTTGATTCTGTTTTTATCGTGTTCAATATATATTTCTAGATTGTTCGAATATAATAATGAAAATTTCTGTACCGGCAGGCAAATGGATGTCTCAATTAATTATCAATTAAATGAATTAATTGAAATTTATTCAGTCCCCTGTATACACAATGGAATTATAAGCTTTATATTCAATGAAGAGCGTTTGCACCTTCGGAATATATAAAACGATTCCCGCGCGAAATCAAAGGAAAAACAGGGTTTCCTTTGATCTCCGAAAAAATGTTCTTCTATTTTCGGGCCGCACAATGGTGGTAGAATCATCTCCGAGTTTTTCGAAGTATACTATCCTACTTTCGAGCGGTATAACGACGCTGGTCTCTTTCAAGAACCAGAAATCCTGTGTCGAATAAAGCCGCGTAGGGGGATAACGAGATCCGCTGCGGTTTCTTGGCTGCGGTTACGTTCGGGCGTTGCTCGCGATGCAATATCAAAGAATCGGAGAGGGCCGTGGATTTCTGCGATCCCGAGGATCGTCGGCGGGATCTCTGGCTCTCGGAAAGGAATCGATGGATCAATGTGAGCCGGTCGCGACGGGAGATAGTGGGGAAAGAGTGGGACAGTTTGAAACGTTTTCGTCGTTCGAGGGTTTCCTCTGACACCGGATGATAAGTATTAAGAACAACAGTTCGTCCTTATTGTATTTGCGGGGCAGAAAGGCGTCGCGTAATTCATTTACGAGGCACAAGCGTCCGCGTAGACTATGGTGTTTCGCGCGTAGGCTGATTACGTGACGCCCGGCCTTGATTACACGCGTAATTGTATAGCGACTGTATGGTTGCCTAACGTTGCCGCTATACTCGAGAAACATTGACACTTAATTGAACATAGAATCCTTCGTTAATGAACAGTGTCTTCGGAATATTTATCAAACTCAGGACGTTCGCGTATGCGGAACCCTTTTGTGTTAAACGTAGCTTCGTTGGAAGAATGGCTCGAAGACGAGTCTTGTACAAATTTAATGTAAACTTGGAAAGTTGAAAGTTTCAAGTTTAAGAATTGCGAATATTAAATTTCAAATTTTAAGTTTGAAAATTTCAACTTTCATATTTTAAAGTTAATAATTTGCAAACCTCAAATATCAAGTTTCAAGTTTAAAAATGTTAAATATCCAATTTCGAATATTAAATTTCAAATTTTAAGTCTGAGAATTTCAGATTTCAAATCTAAACATTTCGAATTCCAAGCTTTATTCGAGCATGAACATTTCAAACTTCACGTTCCAAAATTCGACCTTCAAATTTGGAATTTACAGGTTTAGAAATGTAAAAATTTATTAAAAATTATGTGCATCATATTGAAAATCTTCCTGTAATTTCTAAATGTAAATCACCGTCCAATTCTGATTAAATCAATAAAACAGAGGATCCCAAACTGAACAGATTTCTTCACCCATTTTGTTCCAGAGCGGTTTTCACGATGGGTTTGATAGTAGCAGTGAGCTACTCGGTGAACCAGGACATCATAGACAACACTCCAAACCTAACATTCTCTACCCAACCATCCGCGAACCTGACCGGATCCTTGAGGTTAGGTTTCGCTCCGGGAGGCTCATACACGCTGTACAGCAATCCGGCGTTCCTGCCAAGTTCGAATTCGATCCTCATTGGCGATAAAAACGAAAATCCACCGCCTCTGAGCGAGGAAGAGTACAAAGAAGGTTTAGAAGCTGGCAGGCAAGCGATAAACGAGCGTCTCTTCGCAGATGCCAGTGCTCTAGCGTCGCCATTGCCATCTCCTTCACCCGAGGCCAGGCATCGCTACGCAGTTAGCACGTGTAGTAGCGTTGGTGCGCTAGCTTTGGCAGCGATCGGTGAACTGGGAGCTACCAAGGCGATCGAGAACACTAGATCGATCTTGGGAGAGACGTCAGCTATTGGTAGCTTCTTCGATGGAGGATGGCTGCCTCGAAGTGTCTGCAAGCATCTGGTTCCACCAGATTGTCCTCCAAGCAAATACAGAACTCTTGATGGCAGCTGCAACCGCCAATTGCAACAGGGTGCTACTATGAAACCATTTAGAAGAGTTTTACCTGCCAACTACGCTGATGGCCTGGAGACACCTCGCAGGTCACTGTCGGGTGCTGAACTACCCTCTGCCAGAGAAGTCAGTCTAAAGGTCCACAAGCCATCCCCTAGCACTAATCCTCATTTTACGGTGATGCTGGCTGTCTACGGGCAATTTCTGGATCATGACATCACTGCCACTGCGATTAGCCAGGGTGTCAATGGCAGCTCTATTTCCTGCTGTCCACCATCCGTTGGACATCCAGAGTGTTTCCCAGTACCAGTAGCTTCCGGTGATCCAGTCTTCGATGTGACTAGTAGGACCTGCATGGAGTTCGTCAGGTCTGCACCTGCACCGCAGTGCAAGCTTGGACCTAGACAGCAGCTGAATCAGGTGGGGATGATTGGAAAATAATGGTTGACAGATTTTGTGTCTCCGTTATCGTATGCATTTTTCATTTGTCAGCTTTTGTCGGTCGATCATTCGTGTGAAACGGGATTGAAATCATTAGAGCAGTGAATCAATTAATCTCATTGATGCTGCGACAGTTCTGATAATACTGGTACGTTCGCTGCAGTGTCAATGATAACGGAGATCGAACGAATATGTAATAAATAGATCGCGGGTATTATGCATTCGTAGTATTAATTTTCTGAGGTTCTACGTAACGGAACAGTTGTAAATTCAAACGTAAGAATATTTAACAACGGAAGATAACAGTAATGAGAATAATTAATTCAAACAATTATTCACTGTCGCAGGTTACAGCGTTCATCGACGGTTCAGCGGTCTATGGATCGGATGTCAATACGGCTCACAGTTTGCGCGAGTTTTCTGGCGGTCGTCTGAAAATGCAAATCACCCCCGACAATCGAACATTGTTGCCTGCGAGCACCAACCCTACCGACGGCTGCAACAGGGAAACTGAACGCCAAAGAGGACGCTATTGTTTCGCAGCAGGCGATGCTCGTGCAAACGAGAATCTGCATCTCACGACGATGCACCTGCTCTGGGCGAGGCAGCACAACAGGATAGCTGATCAATTGGCTAAGATCAATCCTAACTGGGACGAAGATACCGTCTACGAAGAGACTCGCCGCATAATTGCTGCTCAGATGCAGCACATCACTTATCAAGAATTTCTACCAATCGTTCTAGGCGAAACGGAAACAGCCTTAAGAGGTCTCAGACCTCTTAAGACTGGCTACAGGGACTCAAGCCCGGATGATCCTAACTTTGATCCTACTATAGCCAACAGTTTCGCCTCAGCTGCCTTCCGATTCGCTCACACTTTGCTACCTGGATTGATGAAGATGACGGACGGACAAATGGGCACTTCTTCTTATGTAGAGCTTCACAGGATGCTGTTTAACCCTTACAGTCTCTATGCAGAGGGCGGTGTGAAGAGTTCTGTGACTTCTGCCACTGGGAATGTCATCCAGATGACTTCCACGCATGTCACCTCTCAGCTGACCAATCATCTGTTTGAAGATCCTCTTGGGAATGTTACTCTACCCTGCGGGCTAGATTTGGTCTCGCTGAATATTCAAAGAGGAAGGGACCATGGGCTGCCAGGGTACACTAAGTGGAGAGAAAATTGTGGACTGGGCAAGGTAGAGAGTTTCTCTGATCTGGAGGGACACCTGGACCCGCAGGCTCTGCAAGACATTTCGAGCCTTTATAAGTCAGTTCATGATGTTGATCTATACACTGGAGCTCTAGCTGAGTTCCCTAAAGCTGACGGACTCGTTGGACCCACTTTCACTTGTTTGATCGCGGATCAGTTCGTTAGGTTGCAGAGGGGCGATAGGTTCTGGTATGAGACGCCTGATGAGCCTTATTCGTTTACTCCAGGTAAGAGGATTGTGGTTAATAAATATTTTAGAATCCCAAGAGAATTATTAGAATATTATTGAATTTGATTCTATTGCTCATATCAGACCAGCTTCAGGAACTGCGCAAGACGACGCTGGCAGGGCTGATCTGCGGTTGTTCCGACGGAGTAACTCAAACTCAAGCGGAAGTGATGAGAACAGTTGGACCCGACAACCCCATGCTTTCCTGCGAGGACATCCCGAAGATAGTTCTCGATGCTTGGAAGGAAACTAAGTCGGAGACACCTCTCTTAAGAGCTTCGTTCGCGCCACTCAACTGGACAGAGTTCAAAGACAGCATAAACAGCACCATTAGGGACGTAGTATCTTACATCAACAGCACTAGAGCATCAGCTGCGTTAGACACAGACTGGGCAGCTTTTAAGAATTACGTAAACAATACGTTCTCTGATCTGAGGAATCAGATATCCGGGCTTCATCCTCCTAAGCCTGATCCTGTGCCAAAAGAGGGATCCTCAATATATCCAGACACCTTTATTCTACGCTCAGCAGGTGCAGTGGACGTGTACCAGGACTGGGTGAGTTTCAAAAGTGACTTGGTGAAGTCTTTGAACGATTCTATAGGATCCATGAGCAGTGGTCCAGCGGCAGCAGCCAACTGGGCTGCTTTTAAACAGGACATTGTTAATCAGTTAGCTGACGTAAAGGCTCAGGTAGCTTCAATGAAGGCTGATATAAAGGCCCAGGTAGCTTCGATGAAAGCTGATCTTGCTCCCAAGTTGCTGAAGATGTCCGAAGAAGATATTGAATCTTTGATGAAGAATAATAGCCTAAAGGACTCTATGATACCTGCGATCTTCGATTGGAAGAACTTCAAAGATGGCATCACGTCCTCTTTGGACGACACGATTGCGGATATTGGAAAGAACATGCCTGGCCCTGGTGATCCAGCTTGGGCGACGTACGGTGACGACATTAAAGACAAATTCTCCGCTATCCGCGATAAAATAGATAGTCAGAAACCTGCGAAACAATTGGGTGCTGGGACATCGGACTCAGGTGACGATTGGTTGAGCTACAAGGCTGACATTGTTAAGACTATCAACGATGCCGTGAAGGAAATAAAGGACAAGATGCCTCCTCCCGGCGATCCTGCTTGGGCGACTTACAGAGACGAAATTATAAAGAGTTTCTCTGTTTTCAGAACTACCCAGTCCCCACAGGAACTTGCCACGCTACCTTCCGTTGATAACTCCGTCAACGAAGCTAAACTGACAAAAATCGAGGTGTCCGATTTAACTAAAGACTGGCAAAGCTTTCACAGCCAAATCAACGACTCCTTGACAAGAATAATCCAAGATATTCAGAGTAAAAAGCCAACTACCGTTGATCCTGTCGGTTGGACTGCCTTCAGGGATTCAATTACGAACGATTTCGCCAAGCTCAAAGACGAGATCTCGAACATGAAGGCAGAATGGACCGCGGAGGTCGATAAACCGAAGCCTGACAAGGATTCGCCGAGCCTCCAAGCTGCAGCTAAGAACGGAGACAGCTCGAAGTTCGATTACACCAAGTTTACGAAGCCTGTCATCCCCGCGGATGAATGGATTAGCTTCAAGAAGCAGATAAACGACACTCTGATGAATTTATTGCGCGACGCTAATGACACCGGTCGGATAGACCTCGAAGAGGTCCGCGGAATTTTCGACGAGTCTTTCGCTGATTTGAGGAACGAGATCTCGTCGCTGAGGGATCTGATCGGGCGAAGTGGATGGAAGAAGGCGGACGATTGGATAAGTTTCCAGAAGCAATTGAATTCGACGATCGAGGTCCTGGTGGACACCGTTCAGGACGGGAGCAAAGTGTCCGCTGGGGACATGTTGAAGATTCTGATCGACACCAAGGATAAGTTCGCTGATTTGGAACCGCCAACAGGTGTACCGGCGGAAGATTGGTCCCAATATTCGTCCAGTGTTAGCAAGACTCTGTCGGACGCGCTGAAAGTGATAAACTCGAAGAGTTCCGCGTCGATGTTGAAGTCGGAGACACCGGACGCTTCGTCGTCTGACAATCCTAAGTCTCTACCAGAATGGCTGCTTGTCCCTTGCATCGCGAGCATTGCGCACTGGCTGTCTTCGTCGACGATCGGGATATTAGTCTGTTGAGGAAGATACAGTTTGTTTCCTTTATTTTTTACCATACAACTGTTGTATATATCTTCTATTTATAGACACTTTTACATGCTGACCAGCTGTTCGCGGTGTTCCTAAATCGATCGAAGAGAATTCAGTCGCGGATATAAATATGAAACTTAAAACACGAATTCTGTTGGTATCTTAATTAACTTTAACTACTGGAGAAGAATGTCACAGTAGCGTGCAAGTTTTTCGAGGTACATTTCATTTTTCAGACGTCAGATGAATGAAAGAATTGTCATTGGTTGTTGATCATTTATCGTATTGGTTTCTGTTTATTTTCGTCCGATGTTAGTTGGAACTCTTTTAGATATCGCCTCGGAAATAGCGAGGAATTTATCCGTTTCGAAAGTTTGCACGCCGCTGTGTGCATTTGTATATTTAATTAACAAGTAGAACGATAAAACACAAACGAATCTGTTCCTCTTTCAAAGATGTTACGCCTTAAACTAAGTCGCGAGGCTCAGCAGGAGAGCGGTGCCCCGTTTTACCCAGAACTCCGATCCCTCGGGACCAGCGTCCAGGTCGACAGCCACGACGAAAGATGACCGGCCCTGATCTCCGCTCCTCTGCGGGTAATAGTAGCAGGGACTGTTGTAAAGACCTGCGCGAAGAAATGAGACAGTTACCCGATCATGGGCGTCTAAGCCGGAACAATTAAATTCCAATTTCTAATTAGTAAACAATTTCCGGAAGGAAATCCCAATATAAATAAGATTCCTCAATTATTAACCCCTTGCCTTATAATAACATCTCAGACTCGCGATGAACATTTTCAACAGAGTTTAATATACATAAATATTACTCGATTCCTTTGAATTCAAATGACTATTAAAATGAAATGATTATCGTCCTTATGGTATCAATTATTATATTACGTAGCAAATATATGCATAGAATATGCCTAGAATTTTTCACCGTTTTTCACTAAATTGTTAATGACAAACTGTACCGATTACACTTAAGAAATATATCATACGGCGAGGGGTTAATTTCTCTATGTTGAAACTGAATTAATTATTTTCGAACTCCACCTCACTTCACATAACAAAGTCTCCCACAATTTTTACGTTAATACCAGTGCAATGAAATTCGTTGCAAAGTAAATAACTTTACTCCCAAAGATCGCTTAAACGTCCACGGTCCAGTTGTTACCTTTCGTCCTCTTTTTAAGCTGTTCCGTGGGCCGGAAGTAAATCACTGGCATGTTGCAAACGAGTTGCATGGGCGTCGGCTCCACGAGAACGTTGTTCTTCTTGTCCCAGCCAGCGCCTTCCAGAAAAATCGAGCGTATGTACACGCCGACCTGTAATCCAATGTACACAGTTAGGAACACGCTTGCGAGCGGAAGGTCCGAGGTCATTTTTCGCGTGGGTCACGGGAAACAGTCGACGGAAGATCAATGCGCGGCTCGATTCAGAGTGACACGTTAAATTCGCGGGAATTCTTGTCTTTGTATCGCCTAACACGTTCCAAACGAGGTACAAGCGGAGCCGACCCGGAAAATTTATTTAGGGTCTTATGCAACTCGGTACATATTGGCCGCCGTAAAGTGTAAGTCAACTGTAATCTAAGTTTAGAACTGGTGTATTCCGGGTGTAACGTAACGCGAGTTTTCGACAGGGAAAATTAGGATAGGCGTGTGTTTGCGGACTACGGCAGATAGTGTTTTGTACATTGTACCCACTTTGAATTGATAAAAACCGAGGATATTAATGGACTAAATTTGTGTTTTGAATCTGTGCGGAAAGCAGTAAACGAGATATTTTAATAAATTGTACTAACTCAACGCTAACAAACATTTCTAAAATGTGATGTAACGAATATAGTTTGCATAAAACAGTCTATCACCAATACTCACTGGAATAACGAACTTAATATTTTCATTGTTACTATTAAAATATTTTTTCCAAGTCCTCTATTGCAGTTATTTCTACCTCACTTCTAGCTATGGCAATCTAAACGTCTTCGGATTTAACAGAATTAACAAGTCCTTATTAACACTAAAGCTACTGGACAAATCAAAATGATTCATTCCTGATTTCTTCATTTAGCAATTATTAAAAAGACAACAGATGGTTTTCTGAGAAACTACTAAAAAAATTGATTAAGCGATACGCGAATTATAAATCAATTAGTCTCAATAGATGCATTCTTAAAGTTTCTATAGAGGAATCTTCAAAAGAAAATTTAACTCTTCGGTAGCTGTAGTATTAAAAACTATTCAATCAATTCAGTTAACTCAATTAATTCACAATTCCATAAGCCTATCTCTAAGCTACATAGTCATTAGAGTTCAACTTAACACTAACTGTACCGGCACTTCCTGTAACCACTAAAATAACTAGCTGTAAAATAGAGATAAACAAGTCAGTTGATAAATATATGTACTGAAAACAGAAACAAAAGGAAAGGCAAGAATTGAAAAACTGAGTAATCGGACAATATAGGGATTCATATTAACATATTGAATGTCACCGGTGACCCCAATCAGATCGACTTATTACAGTTCACTTAATTAAACGACGATTATTCGAAAACGTAATATTACAAATAATGATACCTAATGCGGTGACATGCAGCTAGATGAACACGCAATAATAATACAGTTCAATCAACTGATGTAATATTATGTTTTTTCCATTTTGTGTATTTTGCTCTACGAACCGTGCGGCATTCAACGTGTTAATGTTACATATACGAAAAAGAAACCTAGAATTTTAAATTCAGTCATTCGACTGGTTTCCGGTACGGTTAATGTTAAATCCCAGCTGACCTCCGGTGGTTCGATAATAGCGGACTCCTCGACGGTAAAGACGGTGAACTCCCAGGACAGTGAGTCGATGGAGACGTTCCAAAGCCTGGCCGAGGTTTGTAACACCGCGGTGAGGAAACCGGTCGGGAACGTGTACGCAGCCAGCCAGAACAGTAATGGCGGATGAGTGGTTCGAGCCCATTCGCCGAAATGTTCCACCCGGCTGACCAGGTCCCTGGTCCAGGCGCCGAGCAGCTTCAACGAGGGGTACGCGGTCAGCCAGACTGATGGGACTCTTCCTTCGTAGACGCATGTGAAGATCTCTTCCAAGTCCGGTGACATTAGTACCAGACCCTTAATGGCTTGCTGAAGAACCTTCAGACTGCTTCGAGTCTTCCGTAGTAGGGCGTTGTAGCGTTGTATCTCTTGGAGCAACACTACGTCCAACGGAGTCTTCTTCGGACCTATCAGCTTCTGCGTTGTCTCGTAATCGATATCGCTTGGAATCTTGGATAATATGTCCGCGGTTAATTGGTTGACCTTTTAAATAAAGAAATAAATCCTTCTTGATTTAGCTGGAGACACTTTCTCAGCAGGTTGTCGATGATGTTTGGGGAAGGAAATGGTTTTATGATAGCTAAAAGTGTACAAGGCAGAAGTAGACGACGTTTAGTTGTAACGATTCGTTCAGTAGTTATAGCAACGATGATGCTTCTACTGATTATTGATATTGAATTCAGTAATGAAGAATGCAAACGAGACAGAATACGACGAAGTGGAATATTATGTAATGATAGAGAATGAACGTGGGCTATGGTTGTTAAACGTTTGAGGTTTTGAAGGTTCTGGACTTATACTTGAAGTTGACGTTGATCACTTATTTATATTTCAATTGCTGCATTCTGTTTCATTTGCGTCCATCGTCATCGACCGATAACAAGATCAGAGCATCAAGAGTGAATATAACTTAGAAGTAACTATATAGAAATTATACTTTGTCTTCTTTGCTGGCTTCCTCTTTGGCAGCCACGGCTTGAACTTGCAGACTCATCAGTGTTTCGAACATGTTCCTCGTCTCCATGATCAGACAAGTGATGTCCGCGTTCGGGTGCTGACCGAACGCTTCCGGTTTGTCAACGCTGGGCAGCACTGAGATGAAATCACGGTAGGACTCCAAAGAGGCGTCCCTCGGTATGTGATAGGTTGGCAGCGATGACAAACGGTAATTGGGCACGTTCAACGCGTCTTCGTTGAAATATTGTTGGACGTAGGTCATCAGCAACCGGCGGTCCCAGTCGTCCGTCACGTGGCCACCGTAGCAAACACCTGCTATGAGATATTTCAGGGAATCCCAGGGGGTGACCGGGTATTCGTCTAAATAAACCTGTAGCAGATTCTCCGACACCTGTTGTCGGGGTTCGAACAATTCCATTATTTCGGTAGAAAATTATAGAGCATTACAGTATAAATAATTCTCAATTTAAAATTAAAACCCCTGTACCATTCACTGGATAAAATATCGAAACAACGATCAAACCCGTCTTATTAGGAGCTCTACAGAGAAAACAGCTGAAGCAATATCCGCGACTTTTTCGCAAGATCTACAGGTATAGTCGCAATTTCGGGGATCCCTATACAAACATCGCCGATACCGAAGTTTCGGGAACTATCCGGCAATCATCATGGCCACCGAGGAATTACCACAAAGTCGGAATCGTTGAAGCTGTAGCTGACGTTCCATCCCAATTGCTGGAACTTTTTGCGTTCCAGGAGAATGGAATGGAAGAATACCAGGGCGAACAGAAGCTTCTTGTACTTGTGCTTCGCTTGGCACAGCTCGAATTGGCTTTCGGTTATTAAACCGTAAAGACGCTTCATGTTTGCCCTCAGACCTTTCGGCGGTTCCGTGGTCATCTTTATTCCCGCTTGTAGGATCGATATAGGAAATTGGGGAGTCGGGCTCGAGCTCAGCCACAATCTGTAATTAGCCGGACCCTTTCATTACCGAGTCGGGACCCCTGCAGCCGTTTGCCTGCTTGGATCGCGTATACTCGCGCCCCACCTGAACTGGGGGTGTAAGGTTTTACTGTAGCCCAGGGTCTCCACGATTTTGTCCAACTTAGGCATCCAGCTGAGGGACAAATGGCAGTTCGCTAGGAACACCCACGCACCCTCCTTCGCGCCGACCTCTATCATTCTGGAACATTTATTTTCCAAATTAGTACCTCACTTATTAATTACCTTAACACTAGTCTTACGCGGCAGTTTTACGCATATTGAATTTGATGAACATTATTTGGTAAATGATCAAGTCGATCTTGATTGACGCAATTATACAAGTATACATTTTAATGGTGTAACTTCCAATGTTATTTTTGGGATTTAAGCGAGGGAATATCAATTTTTCTAGGAACAATAGAACAAGCTGTAATAAACATTCGTAAACCTAGTGTTAAATATTTTTCTATAGGAGGTACAATTATTTTCGTGAGCCAATGAATTCTTTCAGGTAACAGAATAATTTTGTTATTGTTTGAAGAAATTGATTTAGTTCGGAATGTTGGTATTCAATGAGCGAAGCATTGTTCGAAAATTGAAGGTTAGGTTCTGATTCCTCCGTGATTAGGGTATTTGCTCACGCAATAACGTATTAGAATGTTAGAATGGACCTGGTGGCGATAGGGGATTGTCCTTGGCCCAGAGAGAGAGTCATAAAATGATTAGTCATTTCCTGGCTGTCGACTAATTGCATCAAAGTGCTCGTAGGATCCACGCCAGGCGAGAGAACAAATATGAGTGGGGTCTGGGCGACGGAATCGTCGAGGACGGTTTTCAGGTCGAGTACCGGGGGCTCTACGAATCTTTGACCGAGATTCAGCACGATGAAATGCGAGATGCAGAAGGAGATCCTGTCCGGACGACAGCTGCGTACCACCAGCATCTTCTGGAACGTGTTGCAGTTCGTCTCCCACTCGGCCACCAAGGGCATCGTTTCCGGTTCTGTACTGATGTACCTGTCCATGGAGTATACACTTTGTCTATAACGTTTTGAATATTGATATACAACAATAGTTTTGTTTTATTAAAGAAATAGTAATGGGACAAGGAACTTAGCACTGATTTCTTAGAATGCTGAAACTTGTCCAGTTACAGTCATGGTAAACATAAACATGAATTGTTAAATCTACTAGAAAAATTTATGATAATCAGCATTAACCTTTACAAAACTTTTGTATGTATTGAATAGATGTAATACGCGAATCAAGGAATAGAACTATTTCAATCGAATACTTTACAATTACCTACGTTACATCAAATTTAACATCGAACATTGAATTTTATAATATTGCCATGTCAAATGAGTCGCCTCTCGAGTGTAAGTATTGGATGTGCTAGGAGCATCTTAATTGATAATCAACATTAATATGAAACGTTGAATGTATTAGAAGTACTTCAATTGATAATGAATAGTTAATATGAAATGCAGGACGTAATATTTAGAATAATTTCAATTGATAACGGACATAAATGTGAAACGTAGAATCCAATAGAAATATTTCAGTTGGTAACGAACATTAACATGAAATTTCAAATCTAGTATTTAGTAGTATTTCAGTTATTAAGGAATATTAATATGAAATATAGTATCTACAAGAAGTATTTCAATTGATAACGAACATTAACACGACATTCACGATCTAATATTCAGAAGTATCTCAATTGACAGCGAACACAAATACGAAACGCAGAATCTACCACAAGCATCACAGCCGACAAAGGTACATTAACGCTACTAGGCGAATCGGTATCGCCCAGGTAAGCATGAAAAGTGCCCCATCCGCACCACAAATGCCAGTCCCGCGGGAACTGCTCGAAGGAGGAAATGAATCCCCGGAATCCGGGCACGTTGTCCAGCTCGGTGATATTATCCCAGGTTTCATCTGGCAGCCAGGCGACCGGTTTGTCCGGTTGGCTCTCCCGATCGAGAACGATCCCGCCGCGCAGCAGAAAACCGTATTCCACCTGGGAGATTTTGCCCTGAGCGTTTAGTATCTTGATGCACATGTTGAACGCGAACAGCAACTTGTGCGTTTCAAACAGACCGCGACACGTGTTCCTGCGGGAACAACAGTTCGCGAAGGTACAACAG